GGCTTTTTTCTTTTTGCTTATGTGGTGCTGAGGAATTGAACCCAGGGCCTCATGCATGCAAGGCAAGCGCTCTACCACTGAGCCACCTTCCCAGCCCCAGACAGATTTTTCAAAATTCAAATTTTCACTTGAGAGTTTGAATTTTGTCATGGGAAATAAATACAGTTGTTTTCCTTGAAATGACAAGGTTGCTTCTTTCATTTTCTGGAAAACAACTGCCACATATATCTCAATTACCAGTTTGTTAAAAATTCTTTCAAATAAAACTGGTGTCCATGAAAAGGAAGCCTGTTTGGCTGGCAACTGGAATAATTGTGCAAGTGCTTTTCCTGGAGACAATCATATTTCAGTATGTGTTTCATGCTTTCTTCCCTTTAGCAACAAAAAAATGCTGAAAAGATGTGTAATCAAGGGCCACAGCTTAATAATCATTGTTATTGCACAATCAAATGATCTTACGTGAAAGTGGACAATCTACTACAAGTCTGTGGCAATGAAAAACACAACTGACTAGTGTTATTTGGTGCTATCACCTTGGTAATTTCATACTTAATGGGTCAGCAGTATTACTCACCAGTGCAAAACTCAGTTAAATCAGTTAAAAAGTCAATCCAAGCAAGGAGTCAATGGCTCACACTTGTAATCCTAGCTACTTAGAAGGCTGAGATCTGAGGATTGCGGTTTGAAGCCAAATGAGGCAGAAAAGTCCATCTGATACTCATCTCCAATTAACCACTCAAAAACTGGAAGTGGCACTGTGGCTCAAATGGTAGAGTACTAGCTTTGAGCACAAAGAGGCTCAGGGACAGTATCTAGGCCCTGAGTTCAAGCTTCACAACCAACAAAAAAAAAAAAAGAGAAAGAAAAATAGAAAAAACTCCCCACCAAGATTGGTATATACCAAGATTGGTATATAGTGAGTAAAAGAGACACAGGAGACAGTGAGGATTTTTGAGGGGGTGGGGCCTAACTGTAATAGTATGGACACAAATTATGAAAAAAAAAAAAAAAGAGAGAGGTAACATGGAAGGAAGATGAAGATTAGGCCTAGGCTCTGAAGAAAGGGTCAAACTAAAATAAGTGAAAAGGGATACGGAATAGATTTGAAACTGCTCATTCTAAAACAAAGAAGGCAGATATGGGATGTAAGTGGCATTTTCAGGAGATGGCAAATAGACCAATCTGGCTGAGCCAGAGAAACAGCTAGAATAGAGGAGGATGTTCAGACCATGAATGTTAATATGGCACATGGCACACATTCAATAAATATTTGCCAAATGAATGAATCCTTTATCCAAAGCAATGTTTTAGGACAATTAATCCAGCAATGATGAGAAGCCGATTTGGAAAAGAAAAACGCAAGAGACTGGGGAAACCAGTTATGAAAAAAACTGCAATAATGTGGCATGAAGGGGCAGAACCGGCTGAAGCAGTGGGAACACAAAGGAAGAGATTCACACTAAATACATTATCAAAAAATCAACAATATTTGGTAATTCACTAATTAGGAGAAGGTTAGAAAGCAAAAATAGGGGCTGGGAATGTGGCTTACCGGTAGAGTGCTTTGCCTAGCATGCATGAAGCCCTGGGTTCAATTCCTCAGTACCACATGCACAGAAAAAGCTGGAACTGGCACTGTGGCTCAAGTGGTAGAGTGCTAGCCTTGAGCAAAAGAAGCTCAGGGAAAGTACTCAGGCCCTAAGTTCAAGCACCAGGACTGGCAAAAAGAAACAGAAAGAAAGAAAGAAAGCAAAAATAATTCAACACTCTTAGAAATTCCAATTGTAAGAATTTAACATTAAGAATTACTCCAGCTGGGGGCTGGGAAAGTGGCTCAGTGGTAGAGCACTTGCCTTGCATGCATGAGGCCCTGGGTTCGATTCCTCAGCACCATATAAGCAAAAAGAAAAAAGCTGGAAGTGGTGCTGTGGTTCAAGTGGTAGAACGCTAGCCTAGAGCTGAGGGACAGCGCCCAGGCCCAGAGTTCAGGCCCCACGACCGGACCCAAAAAAACAAAACAAAACAAGAATTACTCCAACTAGGCACCAGTGGCTCATGCCTGCAATCCTAGCTACCCAGAAGGCTGAAATCTGAGGATTAAGGTTCAAAGCCAGCCTGGGCAGGAAAGGCCATGAGACTCATCTCCAACCACCAGAAAACCAGAAGTAGCACTGTGGCTCAAGTGGTAGAACTCTTGCCTTGAGCTGAGCTCAGGGACAGTGCCCAGGCTCTTAGTTCAAGCCCCAGGACTGGCAAAAAAAAAAAAAAGGAAAGAAAAAGAAAAAACTATGTGCAAATTGTGATATCTGTAAGATCTGTAAAGTAGCAAACAATTTAAGATAAACTTCAAATTCAATTTTACAGAAATGGAAATATATATATATATATATATATATATATATGAGAGAATTGTGGTTTAAATCCAGCTTGGGTAGGAAAGTCCATGAAACTCTTATATTCAATTAACCACCAGAAAACCACAGTGACAACTCAAAACTAGTATAGCACTAGCCTTGATCAAAAGAGCTTGGGGATGTGTTCAAGCCTTACCATCTACCAAAAAAGTAGCTGGAAATGGCACTGTGACTCAAAGCGGCAGAGCACTAGCCTTGAGCAAAAGAGCTTGGGGACATGACCCAGGCCCTGAGTCAAGCCCCAGAACCAGCACATACACACAAAAAAATCATGCAACCTGGTAGAAGAAAAATTATAAAGGGCCAGGCTCTGGTGGTTCACACCTGTAATCCTAGCCATCAGGAGACTGAGATCTGAGGATGGGGGCTCAACATCAGCCAGTATAGGACCTTACCTCCAATTAACCATTAAAAAAGAAAAAAAAAAAAGGCAGAAGTGGAGCTGTGGGTCAAGTGGTAGTGCTAGCCTTACACAAAAAATGCTTAAGGACAGCACCTAAGCCATAAGTTCAAGCCCTATGACCAGCACACACAAAAAAACAAAAGCCAAACCGGGCGCTGGTGGCTCACGCCTGTAATCCTAGCTACTCAGGAGGCTGAGA